ATATAGTGATAATTGTAGTGAATAAAATGTAGATAGATATAATTGTTTTTAAATTGAATACTTTGAAGGATAGTTGAGTTGTATATCATGAGATTGTTAAATATACTTTACCTATTATTTCTTCAAATATTTTTCTTTCAATAAAATTTTCGTATTTTATAGTTTTGTTAAATGGTTTTAGGTAAATGTGTTTGTATAAATTGTTTATTATTATTATATTTGTTGTTATAAATCTATATCTATTAACCAGTTAACTGCGTGTATACATGTCAATTGGAAACTTGATTTCGGTGTGGTTGACGTGTATACTCGTCGTGTAAAATAAAAATTTACAATTTCCTATAAAAACTCCAAATTTCAATAGGAAGTAATAAAAATGTCATTTGGTGGTATGTTTCCTTTACATTACCAATGAAACTGCTATGTATTTTATAAAGAAAAGTTTGATTATTCTCTTTGTATATCGGATATTCCCCGTACAGTGTATTACTTTTTACAAACTGAGTTGATTATTTTCCCCAATGCGGGAAAATTTTCTCCGAATACCACACTGCAATCAACTGAATTTCTTAAAATTATTTTTTTTTTCTTTAATTTTTCTTGTTTATGAATTTTATTACTTTTTGACAATTTCTAAGTTTTTAATAACAACAACCTTTCCGACAATGAATTGTTAATTTTTTATCGAATAAAAATGTAATCCTTCCTCGTTCTGCTGTACTTTTTTTTCTCGTTAAATTTATAACTGGAGCATTTGCCCTGCGTTCGACGTGTATACTCGTCATTGCTTGATTTTAATTCCGCATCCCGTGTTGGATTTTTAAAACTAAATTCCACAGTTAACTGGTTAAATAACAGATTTCACATAAAAACGGCTATAATTCGGAAACAAGATCATATAGGGCATATGTTCATATGAGCTTTTTTTTTTATTTTAGCGTACTGAATCTATCCCCGAAGTTATGCCCACATTTTTGGAGACACCCTGTATATTCTCGTGATTTTCCATTTCATCGTGAATCATTTTATAATAATCTTTGTGAGATGAGACGATTTTCCTTAAGTTCGAGGGATTCATTTTTCATTCTCGGCAGATTTATCGCATTTTACGAAAACTTTTCACGATTCAAAATGATTTCCCCCGAATAGAGATGATGTTTTGTAAGTCTACACGATTTTACATAATTTCACACGATTCGCACGAACGATGTTGAATTATTTAAAGGGGATTTCACACGGTGCGAAATGATTTTCCATGACTGGAATTAATTTTCCGTGAGTCGAAACAATTTTCCGTAACTTGAAACACGATTTTCGTGACTGCGAATAATTTTCCATATGCTAAAATGATTTCCCATGACATACAAATAGATCAGAAACTTGCAATAACTTCCAATACACATTTTTACAAGTCACACAAACTTTCACACGTATCCTGTAAAATTTCTATTAAGTCGAACAACTTCTTCGGGGCTTGAAAATATATTTTTTCCCGACTCCAACGGGCTCTCCATTACTGAAAATTTTGTTTTCACACGCCCAGAGGATCCCTCTTCATTCGAAAACCCTCTGCACAGCTTTAAAACAATTTTCCATCGCTGCAAAAATTTTTTCTCCGACGAACAACCCTCTTCACATTCTCCCCTCGCTCCCTTTCTCCCTGCTTCCCTTTGCCCTTGGTACTTACCAAGACTCTAAAGAATAATTTTCCACGGTTGGAAGTGCACTATCCTGTCTCCAGCCGCGCCGCTTTCTCTTCGACTACTCCGATTCGATAAATTTCCACCGATTAACTCGAACCAGAGGCCAAGGGGTTCAGGGCGAGGGTGGAACAGAAAAAAGCAGGTCAGTAGCTTTCAGCGATCGCTGGTCAGTCAGCGTGTAACGTATCGTCCCTCTCATCTTTTCTCCAGATCGCTATTTTCGAGCAGTTGCAGGATTTCCGGCGCTACCAAGATTCCGGGACAAAGATTGCCTCGACTTTCTTCCCTATTCTCTTTCACCACCACCGCCACAGCAACCCCTTCATCTCCCCCCTTCAGCTATTCTCTTGTGAGGTAGAAGAAAGTTCGCCCCTCGAATCCGTAAGCCAGTTGGAACGATGCTTTTCGTTTCAACGAATAAAGCTCGGCCAAGTGAGCACCGTTCCCTTTGCTGTACTCTCTTGCCAACCATCCGAGTGATAAACCTCTCTTCCGCCGTGGCGCATTGATTTATTTCATAGCTGGGTTACAGTGGACAGAGCAATTTCCGCGAATGAGCCGTTTCGGTTTCTTTCGACATCGATAAGGAAGTTTGTTGAACCGTGGACGATGGTGAAAAAGCTGGAAAAATTTTTCTAAGCCGGAGAGAACTCTCTCAAGTGGATGAGAAATGTTGTGGTGATCGCAGACTATTCTTCCGAGTTGTAGACAATTTTTTTTTTGTCACACAAAGGTTTCCAGAGTGATAGGAAGTATTCGTGAATCGTGGAAAATATTTGTGAGTCATAGAATGTATTCATGAGTCGTGGAAAATATTCTTGAGTCATAGAAAGTATTCGTGAGTTATGAAAACTATTCTTGACTCATAGAAAATATTCATGAGTCGTGGAAAATATTTGTGAGTCATAGAAAATATTTCTGTGTCATGAAAATGATTCTTGAGTCATAGAAAATATTCACGAGTCGTGGAAAATATTTGTGAGTCATAGAAAATATTTCTGTCATGAAAATGATTCTTGAGTCATAGAAAATATTCACGAGTCGTGGAAAATATTTGTGAGTCGCAGAAAGTATTCATGAGTCGTGGAAAATATTTGTGAGTCATAGAAAATATTTCTGAGGCATGAAAGTTATTTTCGAGTCGTAGAAAATATTTGTGAGTCATAGAAAATGTTCCATAGTCATGGAAAGTTTACATTGAATCGTAAAAAATTTTCTCGAGTAATGGAAAATATTCTTGAATCACGTAAAATTCTACTAAGTCCCAGAAGATTCTTGCAGGCTTCCGAAGTTTTTTCCAAATCTACGCTATTCTACTTCGAATCATCTTTCGTCTCGCTTTTCGAATTCAATTCACATTACCGTCCAACCTTCTCTTTTAACCGGCAAAATTATGCAACGCTCAGCCAGCCATGTACTTTTCCCTGTTGTCCATTCTAAACTAACTCAATTAACCGTCGGCCGCACTTCCTGCTAAACTTGGTACACCCAGTCCACTATTGAACTTTCTCTTTCTTCGGCTAGGCCACGACTTGCCATTATTCTGGCTTCATGTTTCCGGCATTCTAACGTTATTTAGCGAGCTTACCCCTTAATCGACGTGTAACTTCGTCCAGCAGTACCAACTTATAATTAACGGAACTCGAGTCCCCCGTGGCTTATGAATTGCGTCACCGAACAGGGCAGGCGTACAATTATAAATTTACTCGTTTCGAAAACGCAAAAATTCCAAGGATTACACTTCGTTCAAGTTCTGTCCTGCGGTCGACCAGATTTTTTATTAAATTTCCAAACCAGCTAGGAACTAATTGAAAGCCTCCAATCGAACTTTTAATAAGAATTTCGAAGGATTCCATGGGGGCGAGTCAATTTATAATTTAAAATGTAATTCCTCCCGGCGGATTAAGACGGGGCAATTTTCAAAGATTCTTCGAAAATTTCTAAAGTTGTTGTTTGCAAGGAGAAGGGAAGTTGTTTCTTATCGATGATGAGAAGTGGAAAGCTCTTGGAGGAATATTAATTTAACTCGAGACAGAGTTGAAACAGAATAATTCGAGTCGTCAGCCTGGTAAGATTAATTTCCAAGTCGCCTTGGCCGTCTCTTTGACGAGGCTGAAAGTAAGGAAAGTTCGCTGAATGCTGTCGCGAATATTATTTTCCTTCATTAATCTCCGTCGACTTCTGCTCACGCATACTTTCCTCCCGCGGTGGCATTCCGCTTAGGAAACTTTAGATCGACTAATTATGTTAATCGAATTAGCTCGTCATCGAATACTGCGTTTTACACCGATCAAAATTACATCAACTAAACGTTATCAGACCTCGATAAATTTCGCCAAATATTTCCAAAAAATTCCTCCAAAGTTTTCAAGCCTTCGGTAGGAACATATAGCTCTAGCCTCGAATAAAGAACACTCGATGGACGTTCAACTCCTCCTTCGTTCCAGCTGAACAGGATCATCGTTAGACTGCGGATATTTATACAAAGTACACGAGAGTAGTCTCTTGATCTTTTGCATATTTTAATATGCTATAATCATCAGCTTTGACAAGGATTTACCAGCTTTAGTAGAACCGCTTGCAAATCCATCGATCTTCTTATCAGCTTGATCAGCTAGCTCTGCTTAACATCAAGAATTCGTGGATCTCAGCCTGAGGATCGCCTAATTCCCTGAAGGGATGGCGGAACTTTTCCACGAGGCCAACAACTTGCTGGCCAAACTCCTTAATCGCCTGAGGTACAGGTTCAAGTGGCCGCGACAACTAGGTCAGCCGATGGACACGCGTAATCACTGTGATTCTATGAGCGAGCGAAGAGTGTCGTAGCCGAGCGACTAGTATTGTCGCAATAATTGAGGATTACTGGCTCGGGGAACAAACTGAGAAACCGTGTCGTGTCTGCGGGGTGAGAGCTGAATCGATGAATCTTTGATCAGCAGCAGAGGTTGCATATAATCTGCACCGAGTGGCTGATGAATAGGAGGTACTCTGACGCGAAAACTCGATGAAATCGGTGACTGGTTGTCTGGAGGAGGCAGTTTGTCGAAGAGCTCGAGGGCTGTTTGCGAAAGGGATCACGATATCTTGCCCTGAACGAGTCGGATGAGAGTTTGTTGAGCTGCCTCTGGTTGGAGTATTTGAAATGATTGGTGTAAGAAGGTACGTCACTGGCGAGTGTCTAATGGAAGTGGTTCTGAAGTGTACTCTGGCTGATGAAAGAGTAGGGTTAATGATTTCTGAGATGTGGGAGGGACACGATAGTTGTGTCAAAACTTAAGAACCCCAAGTGTAGAGGTCAGTCTAGGAACTCAAGATTGGGTGCTTGGATGCAGGGATTCAAGTCTGGGAAGACCAATCTGGAGGCCAACTCTGGGGATACCGGTCTGGAAACCAAAATTCAGAAGCTTGAAGATAGAGACACAAGCTAGAGACCTAAATTTAGACATTCAAGTCTAAAGGCTCAATTGGGGACCTAAACATGAGGATCCAAATTTAGGAGATCAGATCTAGAGACTTAGGTCCAGGAACCCAACTGCGGAGATCCAAACTTATTAATCCCAATCTGAGGGTCCAAATCTGAGAATCCAAGTCTGAGATCCAAATTTAGGAGATCAGATCTAGAGACCTAGGTCTAGGAATCCAAATGCAGAGATCCAAACTTATGAATCCCAATCTGAGGATCCAAATCTGAGATCCAAATTTAGGAGATCAGATCTAGAGACCTAGGTCTAGGAATCCAAATGCAGAGATCCAAACTTATGAATCCCAATCTGAGGATCCAAATCTGAGATCCAAATTTAGGAGATCAGATCTAGAGACCTAGGTCTAGGAATCCAAATGCAGAGATCCAAACTTATGAATCCCAATCTGAGGGTCCAAATCTGAGAATCCAAGCCTGATATCCAAATTTAGGAGATCAGATCTAGAGACCTAGGTCTAGGAACCCAAATGCAGAGATCCAAACTTATGAATCCCAATCTGAGGATCCAAATCTGAGATCCAAATTTAGGAGATCAGATCTAGAGACCTAGGTCTAGGAACCCAAATGCAGAGATCCAAACTTATGAATCCCAATCTGAGGATCCAAATCTGAGATCCAAATTTAGGAGATCAGATCTAGAGACCTAGGTCTAGGAACCCAAATGCAGAGATCCAAACTTATGAATCCCAATCTGAGGATCCAAATCTGAGATCCAAATTTAGGAGATCAGATCTAGAGACCTAGGTCTAGGAACCCAAATGCAGAGATCCAAACTTATGAATCCCAATCTGAGGATCCAAATCTGAGATCCAAATTTAGGAGATCAGATCTAGAGACCTAGGTCTAGGAACCCAAATGCAGAGATCCAAACTTATGAATCCCAATCTGAGGATCCAAATCTGAGATCCAAATTTAGGAGATCAGATCTAGAGACCTAGGTCTAGGAACCCAAATGCAGAGATCCAAACTTATGAATCCCAATCTGAGGATCCAAATCTGAGATCCAAATTTAGGAGATCAGATCTAGAGACCTAGGTCTAGGAACCCAAATGCAGAGATCCAAACTTATGAATCCCAATCTGAGGATCCAAATCTGAGATCCAAATTTAGGAGATCAGATCTAGAGACCTAGGTCTAGGAACCCAAATGCAGAGATCCAAACTTATGAATCCCAATCTGAGGATCCAAATCTGAGATCCAAATTTAGGAGATCAGATCTAGAGACCTAGGTCTAGGAACCCAAATGCAGAGATCCAAACTTATGAATCCCAATCTGAGGATCCAAATCTGAGATCCAAATTTAGGAGATCAGATCTAGAGACCTAGGTCTAGGAACCCAAATGCAGAGATCCAAACTTATGAATCCCAATCTGAGGTTTTTTTTTTTTTTTTGTGGATGGTTTTGCCTCTTTAAATTGAATTTCTCGAATCCAGGCGATGATCAGAGGATTTTATTCATTTTTGAAGGATGAAAGGAAGTAGGATTTTCATTGTTTCTTTAGGTTAGGATGGGACTGAATTGTTTTTCTATTTTTCTGCGGTGTAACAGACTATCTAAATTAAGAATAACCTCCAAAATAAAATATACAAATCTTCCTAGCTTCGAATTGAAAGAAATTTTGATCGCTTGATAAAAGTACCATTTCCATATCTCCAAATATAACCAGCGTGGCCATTTCAGTTTCCCTGTTTTTCCTCTGTGCTACAACGAAACATAACCTCCAAAATTAAATCTACAAACCCTCCTAACACGAAACAAACTAGAATTCTCCTTGTTTGACAAGAAGTTTCATTTAAACACCTCTACCCTAATTCCTGATCTCTCTAGAACAAAACCTAACCTCCGAAGTAAAATCTACAAATCCTATTTCGGGAGAAATACCTAATATTCATCGTTTCGCGAAATGCAGCATTGAAATCGTTCACCCTGCACAAAGCCACCTAATTGATACATGAAATCGACGTTCTGCTTTCAGCATATCGGTGATATTTCGAGTGAAATCGGCGAAAGCTGTGAAAATAACGGACGGCAGCCTGCTGAAACGGCTTGGGATCATCGTGATGATATTCAGCGTGTTCCTGAGCATTCGCACGCTAGTTGCACCGCCGGTGGTTATAGTGGCTCGAACGGCAGACGACCTGAAAGCTTATCTGTGCCGGACCGACTGGTGGGATCACAGTTTCACCACACGTGAGTGCTTTAACTCGGCCCAATCACCTGATGCACGCTCCTTTTCACCCCTTACGCCGCCGACCCCCTTCACAAACCCAACGGAACACTTGTTACACTGAGTGGTATCAGTTCGATCGCGAGTCGAAAGGGAGTCAGTGGAATTACCGTGGATTAATTTGCCATTAGATCACAGACTTTTTAATGGAGAGGCTCGTTCAATGGTTAATTCAGACACTTGATTAAAAATTTAGCGTTAAAATAACGAGAGATAGGGGTGGATAATGGTGGGTAGAATTTTAGGATGAGAGGGACAATGATAGAAATTGGCCAATTTTGGAACTGTCTGGCAATGAAAATTTCATACAGGTCGAAGTATTTGAAACATATTTTTTTTTAACTTTATTATTTATTTTCTGCTAAATATATATTTCATTCCAATATTGCCTGCTGTCGCGAGAATGAAAATGGTGAACAAGTTGTGTTAGGTTTCCTGTAGGAACGGTTATTTTCGAGTTGAGGATTTTCGTTTATTGCTTGCACGGGTCTAATTACATCCCGCGAAAGTCACTAGATTTGCAATAGCCTACGAACATACCATAAACCACGAATTTCCGAACGGCACATCTGTATGTAACGGTCCGCTTGCCGATTAGTCACCCGGAGGAAATTCCAGATTTTTGGGACCTTCCGCCCACCCCTCGCGACCGTCCCCCCCATCCTTCCAAAGTGACAGCGCGCTAAGGGCGCACTGGAAGGGCGGTAAAGACGATATTAGACACGCTGATTGGCAAATGCAATTGTTCACCATTAACCAATCAGCGTGTCCTAACAAAAATTCCCTCTCACGGACGTCCGAGATGCGACGTCAGTCGTCGAGTAGTCGTTCAACCACCACGAACAAGGAGAACCAAGGAGCAACCAGCTCACATCACGCGATACCATAGATCAGTTTTTACAAGTCCCAATCATTTGGGTGGTCCTTCGAACCAGTATCTAGACGGCACAACATCGTGTAAACATCCACAAAGCTCGAAAGTTCATCGCCACAATCACAGGCATTAACAAGTTGTCAGTTACCGATCCTATGCTGCAACAATTTTACATTTTTTTCTTTTAGATATAGTAGATATCGATCTACGATGAACTTTTCTAGCTGATTTCTCGAATAATTATTTTGTTAACGGATTATCATTCGAAGAAGATAATGATGATTAAGCTGACGAGTTTTGCTAACGACGTTATTTCAAAGTTTATGCTTATTTTCTATAACTTTCCCATCATCGTCAGGGTAAATAATTATGCATTTCGAATTCCTTGAAACCCGTAGAATTATGACGTGTAAAAAAATTTCGTTGCAAACCAGATCCAAAATTGGCCAATTTCTACCATTGTCCTTTGCAATGATACTTCTGTGCATACAATTTTGTCAGTTGATACTTTTTTTGCATTGTTGAGAAAAAAATCGATTTCGATGATTTATTGATAATTGAAAAGAAATTTAGTAACCGATTAATGTAACTTATTGAAACGAATAATTCAATGTGACGTAAGCAAGGCTCGTAGTTTAATTTCTGCTACCTACTATATCTTCTTTTTCTTAATTTACTACTTGAAAATTGTTTCCACGACAGGGAAGAAATTTAATATTCGTGAATTATTGCTAATGGAGGGAAATTCAACGGTTCGACGTTTTCATAAATCAACCGATGTTTAACTCTGAGCATAAACGTCCGTAAACCGAGATAGATGTTCAATCTTGCTTCAAAGTTGCTCCCATTGGGAATGAGTTCTTGCGGTTTCGGAGCCATTATCAAAGGAAAGTTGAAATTCCAGGGTGAAACGCGACGAAAGAGATACACAGGCGAATCTCGCAGTGCAGTTTCACCGAGGGGAAGCTGGCACGAGTTCCAGGCAATCTTCTTTTATCTGACAATCGTTCCTTCCCGCGTTCCAAGGGACGAAAGGTGGAAATATTGTTCTGCTTTGCACTTGAAATTAATTCTGAAGAAAAGAAGATTCGAAACCGGCTCTAAGTGATGTAGAAAGGTCTTGATTACAGTGACTGAGAAGTCTTAGAGGAAGATGAATAGGAAATTAAAGTGAATTATAAATCGCGATAAATGACTAGCAAGAAGAATTTTCTGGTACGTGTGAAAAGTTACTGAGTGTGAATGAGAAATTCACTGGGAGTGTGTAAAAGTGTCTGAGAGTATCTGGAAGTATTTGTAGGTACCTGAGAGTATCTGAGAGTGTCACGAAAAATTTGGAAAGGAAGAAAGGTATAAACAAATACATCTGAAAGTATCTCAGAGTATCTGGAGACATGTGGAAGTATCTGAGAATGTCAGAAAAATATTTTGAAGCATCTAAAAATATTTCGGAATATCTGAAAACATCTGAGAATATCTGCGAGTTTCTAGAAATATTTTATGACATCTGGAAACATCTGAGAATAACATATAAATATTTTAAAGCGTCTGAAAGTATGTAAGAACATTTGGAAGCATCTTAGAGTATCTGAGAATGTCTGAGAATGTTTAGAAATATTTCATAACATCTGAGAATATCATATAAATATTATATAAAAATTTGAAAGCATCTAATAGTATCTAGGAACATTCGGAAATATCTGAGAGTGCCTGAGAATGTCTGAGAATGTCTAGAAATATTTTATGACATCTGAGAACATCTGAGAACATCTGAGAACATCATATAAATATTTTAAAGCATCTAAAAGTAGATAGGAACATTTGGAAGCACCTGAGAGTGTCTGAGAATATCTGAGAATGTCTAGAAATATTTTATGACATCTGGAAACATCTGAGAATATCATATAAATATTTTAAAGCATCTAAAAGTATCTAGGAACATTTGAAAGTATCTGAGAGTACCTGAGAATGTCTCAGAATGTCTAGAAATATTTTATGACATCTGAGAACATCATATAAATGTTTTAAAGCATCTAAAAGTAGATAGGAACATTTGGAAGCACCTGAGAATGTCTGAGAATGTCTAAAAACATTTGGAAACACCTCAGATTAACGGAGAAGCTTAAATATAGTCTAAAACAAAGTCTGAAAATAATACTAAGCCACTGTGCTTCCATAAATCCTGATATAAGTTTCCAACAGTGTATCCATCTCCATCGATTTATAGAGCCAATGTAATTGGTTCAAAGACGTTCATAGGGAATTCTAATGGAAGATATTGTCCTCCCTCTAGGAAACGGACGTTAAATGTTCAACAGAGTAACCTCTCATTCGTTGAACGATAAATCTATCTAACCGTCGATAACCATTCGACTCCGCACTTTTGTCGAAGCCGCCATAAAAATGGAGATTTTTTAAGAAATATCGGCCGGCTTTTCATTGGATAAAAGTTAAAGTGATCGAGTGGCTCACTTCCGGGAATAACGCCAGCATTTTAACAAATAGAAGCTTTCAGAACTCTTTTCACTGGCCCAAGGCCAGAACATTTCCAGTATGGACCAGCAATTTTTCCTACGATCGTATTTCGAAATTGAAAACAACTGCTAATACTGCTAATACCCGAAATTTAACCCGAAAGAAATTTTTCTTCCCCTATTCTTTTCTTAATTGAATAAATTTACAAATTTAAGAAACAATTTTTTCTCAAACTTTAACTCAACGTTAGGAGTTGTTTCAAATTCAACGAAATCTCGTTGTTTGAAAATTTGCTCTTCGATTAAAAAGAATTATTCATCCTGTTAATAAAACAGGTTTCACGGCAAAGATTTGTTCAATTGGAAATTAAATTATTCGTCATTTCCTTTTCTTCTTCTGCAGAAATTCCGATTACTGTTAGCACAAGAAATTGATTAATTTTCTTGTAATTACGGAATATCAAACATTTCAAAGAAACGCCAATGGCACCAGGCTTTGTTATATCAACAGGTATACCGTGTGGAAAAACCGTTAATTCAACGGCCTCGTTAAACTAATTCCAGGTCATTGCCAGACGTCATTTTGATATTTCTCAATTATCCAGTGGAGTTTATTGATAATGTGAATATTCTGACCGGTGACACGTACAAGCCGAAGGAACAAAAGCGATATTTATAATTGAAGTATCGATTGGGCGGAACGTAATCACCGGGAGAGGATCGAGGTACATATATCTCGTCCAATCTTCTCCACACGACGAGAAATCTCGGTAAAGAGATTGCAAGATTATCCTCGAATAGAGAACGGCGTAATTAAATTATGCGGTCTGTGCCGCGTAACCGAGCATACATCGAGAATTATGTGATCAAGCAAATTTATAAGAAAGTATTTTAAAAAAGCGTTTAATTAGAATAAAAGAATGAAGAAAAGTTTAATTAATACCAGTGGTATGTTCGAGTTTTAATGAATACAGAGTTTAAAGAGAAGCTGAAGAAGAATGTTGCATGAATTACAAAGGAAAAATTGGATTTTTATTTAAAAAAAAAAAAAAAAAAAAATTGAAGGAAATTAAAGGAAACACGTCAAGGTTCTGTATCTCAGAGAATGTTAAAAGTCCTGCATAAAAATTGAAAGATAATTTCGATAATGAATCTTGCATTGTTAATTTTTCTAAAACCAATTTTGCATCTCGAAAAAATGATAACAACGAATATAGACACATTACTGGTTATATGTGGCAATTTCAATAATTTAGAAATATCGAA